AAAAAAAAAAAAAAAAAAACAAGCAGAAACAAACTCTGCAAACAAAATACCTTGGCATAATGGCATTTTAAAAGTCTATCCCTGTTGAAAAGAATATTTAGGGGAAAGAGTAAAAAACAGAAAAAAGTATCTTAAATACTCCTGGCTGGTATCAGAAAAAAGAAAGATTAAAATGGTCTAGCAAGATAAAGTTGCAGGGAAGAGAGATTCTGTAGTCCATGAAGGGATGTACCCAAGGATAGAACGTCGTATTCTAGGTAAGTGACACCTCCATTAAAATGTAACTGGATTTCCCAGCAGGAGGCTATGAAGCCCACATCACATTTAGCAAACACTAGGTGCGTGAACAACCTGACATCACGCAAATCCTAAAACCAGGGGCACCATGAGGAAACTATCAGCATGAAAGACAAATGGCCTTGTGCTCACCGTGTTTCGCGTAGTCTTCTAGGCCCGTAGCGTTGAGGTCCACGCTGTGAATTTTGCACAAGACTCTGTTCATGGCAGTGTAAATGGCCCGCCTCTGGGTGGGCTCCAAGCCTGGCAGAGAGGGGTCTCTGTAGATGAGGCCTGGGCAGTACTCCATCAGATAGAAAGGAGTACCGATGACCCTGGGAGGGACACAGACAGGATGTTTCAGTGGCCCAGCTCATAACATGGCAGGCTGTTAGTCATGGTATTGCTCTAACGGTCCTGTGTGTTCATTCCAAGAACTGAGGAAGGAGTTCAGGCCCAGGGTACTGGATGTTTCCTTTCTCCTTCGTACACGAACACAGGTTAGAAGCACCCCATCCCCAAACCAGTCCACACACACAGCCCTGTCTATACTTCCTTGCCCGCATACCTCTCTTCCATTAGGTCCACTTGGGGAAGCTATGGAATGGAGTTTAAGAGTGATAATGTAGGAAAGCATATTGAGAGGAGGCTAGACATTACTAGAAATCAGTTGACTGTTCTAAAAACTTGTTTTGAAAATTCTACCATTAAAACTGTTTATCCTGATTTGACCATGGGCTAGAACTTAAATTTATTATTAAATTATTAATTATCTTAAGTGTAATAATGCTGCTTTGATTATGAAAGAAAATGTCTTTATTTCTAGGAGGGGTATGCAACTTACTTCAAAAGATTCAGCTAAAAATATATATAGAAAAAGGAAATATATTTATAAAATGTATAAAATTATAAAATTATTAGAGTGTGTAATTACAATTATATAAAATTATTTATATCATACACCTATACACATATGTAAACATACATATATTCATACAGAAGGCAAATATGGCAAAATGTTAGCAACATTTTAATCTAGATAAGAACTCTTTATGCTACTTTTTCTTTCAACTTTTCTATGTTTCAAAATGTTCATAATTAAATAGGTGGGACAAAAAAAAATTCAAAAAGGTTATTGCAAAGCAGTTTAAAAACAACTTAGAAGGACCACAATAAAATTAACAAAAACAAACATGAAGCTAGGTGGATCCAATTCTCACAAAAGCAAATATTTCTTCATCTTTCAGGATAACTTACAGATCTGTGAGCTCTCGGGGTGGGGCGGGGGGGGCGG